CCCCCCCCACGCGGGAGAGAGGGACAGGATTAAGGCTTACTGTAAAAAACTCGGTTTCTCTTATACTATTTTAGATGCGGTTTTTTGCTTTTTGATTGCGTTTTAATAGTGTACGTCAAGAGAGTGTACACTAAGGGATTTTTCGAAATTTCCCCCGCGGGGGAAGTGTTTTACATTTATAATAGATACATTTTGAGACACATCAATGCCTGGCCGGGTCTGCTAGTAGATAATAAAATTATACACGTCCTCACGAATTTAAAAAAAAAACAAAATTACAAGTATACCATAAATTTGATTCCATTCATTTCTGGTTTTCGTAGTTTGTAGTAATGCTATGACCTAAAAAACAATAAAACCATTTTCCTCCTCTTACTTCCTTATAGTCATATACATAAAGTTATTGTTGCACATACTTTTCACATTTAAACAGAAGAGACAAAAATTATTACTAGATGGAATAAAAGGTAAAGGACAAAAAAGAAAGATAAAGACACGTTTTGATGCCATTAATTAAGGAATGACCGAGAAAAACGAGTGTTCAAAAAGAATCGATTATTTAATTTTTCCAGTGGAAACAAATAAAGCTCTGGAACGTTTGCTGGCCGGGAGGTATAGGAAACTTTCACGTGCACGTGGAAATTTTTTCTCGTTGGCAATAAATGTGTGATTGAGTGCATATAGCAAGTGCCCGTCGCATTTTCATTTCCTGTAAAATAGCAGAATGTCTTGAGTAGCATTATTGTATCAAATTTTACTAGAAGCCTGGTGATACTAAAATCAAAACAATTCGGAAGAGTCGGCTGCTTTTGGTGACGATGCCATGAGCACCGCATGATTTCGGGTGCGTAATTATTACTTCAAAGTTCATTTGACCACACACTGATGGTGAGTCAACCATACTCCAGTGGGCCTGCAACAAGCTAAAATGAGGTTGTTGAGCAACTTTGTCATGCAGAACTGTCATGTCATCAGATGAGGTGAAGATAAGCAGTGAGTGGTTTGGTAGATGCCATTTTGAGAAGGTATTTTCTCATGCAGTGTCCTCAAAATTCATGCTGAAACCTTTAACGTCGGAGCAGAAGCAACATGCTGGATTGCACAAATGGCAACCCACTTCCTAGCCTAAACTCAGTAATCACTGGTGACGAGTCACAGATTTATGGGTATGACCCATAAACCCATGACTGATCACAGCATTGACATTCACCACCACCAAGGCCAAAAAAAGCACAACAAAATCAATGCCGTGTTCACCGTCTTCTTCGAATTCCATGGTATGGTGCATCACAAGGTCAAACCACCAAACCATTACCAGAGTGCCACCTGACCAACCTCCATTGTCTTCGTGATGCTGTGCGACACAAACAACCAGACCTTGCAGCAGGCACTTGGCAGTTCCATCATGACAATGCACCTACCTATTCTTTGCACATGATTCACTTTTTTGGCGAAACACCATATTCCTATGCTTTGACGGGCTTTCTACTCTCCCAATCTGGCTCTGTGCAGTTTTTGTCTTCAAGCTAAAGAAGCCACCAAAAGGACCCAATTCACTGAAAGGTATCAAGAGAAAAGTGTATGTGGAACGTGGCAGCACAGTCGAAGCACAAATACTTTGAAGATTAGGGTTTCTGATCTCCAGATCAATAATTTTTCCTGACCAAATTATCGATACATTTTGAACACCCCTCATATACTTAATGTTCAAATATGGTTAAAGACAGGAATAAATGGAATCTGTAGTAATCGATTTCAAAGACTCTGATGTATCTAAAGAGAATCAAATACAGGGTGTTTCACAATGTTCTGACGATTTCAAAGTTAAATAACTCACGTTAAAACAATACACAGCGACGATGGCGCCCTCTATTAGTAGTGCGGACTGTCAACTTTCATCTCATCTCATCTCATGGTGTACTGGTCGAAGTAACATCGTGCGTTCGCGGTAGAGTGCTAATTTCGCCTCGGCGAATGTCGTGCGCGTGCAACGTAAATTTCGTAAACATTTTATGATTCAGCCGCGATATCCAATTCCTGCTCATGGAACAATATTGAATTGGGTAAAAAAACTTCCGTGAAACTGCCAGTGCATCGAATCGAAAGAGAACCGGCCGTAGGAAGACCGTACGAACTCCAGAGAACATCCATAATTTCCAAACGCGCTCGTTTCGAATGGCCACCTCGCTCGCCTGATTTAACCCCGCCAGACTTTTACTTATGGGGTTATTTGAAGGCAAGAGTGTACTCCGACTGGCCAAGAAGCTTGGAACAATTAGATCGAATTCGAGATGAATTTCCATAATTCCTCCAGCAGTTACGAAAAATGTGTTCAAAGGCTAGGTGAAACGCGAATCATGAGTAGCCACGAATAGTCATTTGTCCGATGTAGTATTTCATACGTAAAATTGAATAAATTTTGTACTTTGTGTAAAATTTTCAACTTTTTTAGCGATTAGTTTGCGAGTTATTCAACTTTGAAATCGTCAAAACATTGTGAAAAATCCTGTACTGTACATCATAATTTCTGATTACTATTATAAAAGTTTTAAAATTTTAATATATTTTATTATTAAGTATGCAGCATTATAACTAGAACTAGGATTAGACACTAAAAATTGCAGTTATAAAAATTATAACCACTGTGTATGATTTTAAGTGCGTAATGTTTTAGCCTTAGTTATAACACAGATGTTAAAAATGTAAAAAGAAATTCTATTAAATTCTTTTCTATCAATTTGTATTCCATAACTGAATTGTTGGTCTTTTCATTATTGTGATGAATTATTCTTATTTAAATTTAATAATTTCATCAATTTCTGAGTATATAAAACATTTACAAAGTGTAATTATTTTAATTTCCTTTCTTTTTTATATTTACTTAGTGTAAATAAAGCTATACACTCATGACAAAAAGTTATGCACCTATATAATTATGCCAAGTTTTGTAGTAATCAAATTCTGTCTCAGAGAGATATGTAAATGATTATAATTGTGGTCTGATTGCATGCAACTTAATGTCACCGTAGTGCCTTAAATTAATTAAAACAGTTACCCTAGTATCCTATAAAAAGACTTAAGAGGTTTAGTGTTCAGAATTTCCAGTGTACCTGTCTTCAAATGCCAGGACCCTCCAATGTAATCAAATACATTATGCACTGTACTGTACAGGTAGAAGAGTTTTGGAAAGACTGCATCATAGGGTCGAGAACAGCAGAATAACATTTTCCTGAACTGCCTACTATCTGGGCCATTCTGATTGGACTGTGAGATTGTGTTAGGGCAGTGGATAAGTTAGTGTACATACAGTGGTCAGGCTCTAAATGTATCAGACAGACCACCAGGAGAGATGATAATCTGATTAAGACAAGAATGAACAGCTGAAATGATATCCTCTTCTGCCATACAGAGAAATGGAAGCCTTGCTGCCAATGGTAGAGGAAGCTCACCTCTTCCTCTGAAGGAAATTTGCACACAAGGCAATCGCTATGCAATCAACGTTATTGGCTTCATTTGCAGTGATACTGTGACAGAGAAGAATACATTGCTACTGACTAGCAGCATACTGTCTTTAGTGATGAATCATAGTTCAGTTTGGTAAAGGATGACTACTTTGTTAGTGTGGTGGGAACTACTAGCGAACACTCCACTCCTGCCTTCACCATTGAGTGGTACACTGCACCCACTACTGGTATGATGGTCTGGGGAGCCATCTCATATGAAAGTAGTCACCTCTAGTAGTGGTGTAAGGGAATCTAATAGCACAGCATTATGTTCAAGGAATTCCTGTTTCCTCATGTGTCACCTTTTATGGAAGGACTGCAAATAGCCATTTTTCGACAAAATAATGCTTGGCCACACACAAATGCTTTCCTGTGGCTTCATCAAGTTGTTGCCACTCTTCCTTGCCCAGTGACCTCCAGATTTGTCACCTGTCAAGCATTTGTGGAACCAGATATAGATGGCCGAAGCTGCATTCAGTGTCATCTTGGAGTGGCAGTTGCAATACCTGTGGGCAAATCTGTCTCCATACCCAATCATATTTCCAAATGCATCCATGCAGAAGAGTCCTACAAGGTATTAAGGGTTCTTTTAAATTGTATTGTTGTTTGAGAGGAACTTTTCTTTTTCCTATGATACCGTAATCATTTATTACTCTCATTATATTCTCATTAATAAAGTTTCATCCAATTCCAATGTCTCCCCTTAGGTGTGCAATTTTTTGTCAACGAGTGTATAGAAAGTACTTTATACAATTCTGAATTGTTTGTGAATGTAGTGTAAATACAGTAATTTCATGTATGGTAAAATTAATTTTAAATTGTCATTAAGAGGTACAAAATGTTCTCAAATGTTTATATCTATTCTCTTTTATTGATGTCAGCTTTAACAATCTTATTAAAAATTTCAAAACATCCATTTGTAGTTGTTTCATAAACGTTAGTTCATTGTTAATTTTTGTGGTTTAGGGAATATGAGAAACATTGATTTATACATTAAGTACTGCCTACATAAAATGTTCTCTCTTTCCCTGCTTTTAATTAAATCTTTGACTATCATTGATTTTAAAATATATACAGGAATAGTAATATAGAAATTTCTTATCAGTTTATTTTAAATATACTTTGTTTAAAACAATTGCCAATTTCATCTTTATAATCAATTGTTATAATTTTTTTTGATGACATTAGAATCTCACTTGCTTTTCAATGCCACGATGATTTTCGTTGTCAATTATTATTTTATTAGGAGGAATGTTAATATGTATTTTGGACATGATGTACCAACTCCAAGCACATGCAAAACGTGGAAAGAATACTCGTGCATCCTTTTAGATTCAATAAAGATAAGTAACAATAGTGTTGTGTGTTTTTATACAACAAAACTTTTATGGTGGATTTTAGTTATCTTTGGGGACTAAAAATATATAATAAAGACATATATATATATATATATACTTTTTTTAGTTCTCTAAAACATGTAATTATGGGGTGTTATGATGTTCATTTTAGCTCCTATCTAAACCCATCCACCCATCCAAGTCCACTTAGAATTTTTTTAACTATGATTATTTCTATTTTAGAGATAATATTGTGATACTTTTTCAAATCACTGCAACTGGGTAAATTTTTCACATGCAAATGTTAAGCTAACCTGCAACAAAATCCTACAATTTTCTATTTATTTTACATAGACTACTGCATCAAAATGAATACAGTAAAACCTTAATGTTTTGAAATAATTAAATTCTCTGGGGCACTGAGTAACCCTTCTTTATTTACACCAGATCGGTCCAAGCATGGCCACAGCAAGCACTGATTATACAAGTTTGTCTGTAGCTAATACTGGACATTAGTGACAACACAAAACTTGTTTTTTTTTTTTTTTTGCCTTAACAACTTATATTCCAACGATGAACTTAAAAAGCAAAGCAGTGAAAGGGGGAAAAATTATTAATACATCATATTCCAGTTACAGAAAATTGGATGATCTATATTTTTTATTTTTCTCTTTATGTGATAACTTATATATAATAGTCCCATTTTCAAGTGCATGTAATTTAAATTCTAGATGCGATCGTTTTTCACAGAAAAAAAAAATTCAATTCATGCAGCTTGAGAACTTCCAGTGTAAATTACAATCACATATTACTCACAAAGACAAATTTGTGTGAAAATTATCCATTCCACATTCTTTGACCCAAATTATATCCTTAGAGGCCACTAGAAATGATTTTTTGCACAGATTGTATATTGCCCCTGGTAATAGTAACACGGAACGGTTATTCTCTGTACCAGAGTTATTGCGCCAAAAATATACTAGCCTGCCGATTTCTATAATGTGGAACGGGACAACAACGATGGTAACTGGTGTGGTGGACATCATTTTCGTATTTGGTCTACCTATAAGTTTTCGAGCTCCGTCTTACGTACACAAAAGATATATTTGCAAAAGTCTTCTTGCAGAGCTTGTCTTTCAAGCAGGTAATTAATATACAGTCTGAAGTGTGAAGAGAAGACGGGGAAACAGCTTCTTGTGGCTGTACTTTAAATTACTCCTGAACCACTGAGGTTGGGGAAGAATATATAAGCTTTGGCTATGGGTGCTATAACACAATCATGATTTTGGTTTCTCCTGCCAATATAGGAAGTGGAACTGCATTATTATTATTATTATTATTTTTACCAATGATCATTTCTTTTGCATTTCTAATTTAGATAATCTTTTCCATAATTCTTCTCTCTCCTTTTCCTTTCTCTTCTCTCTGAAAACAAAATATTTATGATTATTTTATTGAATTATTATTAGCTTACAGTATTGAGAAACATTTCAAACTTAAGCAAACATTAAATTGGTTTTCAAAGAAATATGACTTGCCTTTGCCTATCTGCTTTATAAGATGCTGTGAGTTCATCAAATAGTTTTGAATTCATTTCCATAAATGTCTTAAGAACATTATAGACTAGAGCAATTATTGTTTGATTCCAATGTTCTTTGGAAATTCGGTAGAGAGCAGGAAACATAATAGGCATAATTGCATTGTTATTTTCTTCTATTAAACTCAATATGTACTCATTGTTCCAAAAATAAAGAGCTCTTTCAGCAACCTAAAATTAAACAAAAATAATACAAGATTTATAAATGTTCATTTGCTATGACTTGATTTTGATTCATTGGTTGTCAAGCATTTTTTCTGTTTTGAACTATTTAATTACAACCCTTGTTTCATTTTTAATTTAAAAAATAAAAATTTAAATATTTTTATACATTAAATCATTTTAATAATTGTTGAATTTATATTTGTATCTAATCAAATGTTTAAATTTAAAAATAAAACGCATCTAACTTATACAGTCAAACAAATCGGCTGACTTAAATTTCTTAAAACATAATTGAAAATTCTCTCTACTCTACAGTAGATTTTACAAATTTTAATTGTTATCCAAGTATCACTGATTGCATGTATTTATTTCAGAAAAAAAAAAATTGATTCTCTATGCATTCTTAACAAAGATGATTTGAATTTGTATTAAACGATAAACAAATGAATAAAATTATCCAACTATGTGGTGTGTCCTGTATCCTTTGCAATTGGTCTTAGAAGATAAAAAACCAATGCAAACAATTTTTTCATAATTGCTTATTTGAAATACACTCTTTTTGATTCAATAAACTGCTGGAAAGGTTCATAAAAATTTTTGAAGTGCTTCTAGTAGTTGGATTCCAAATTGATTTTAACACGTTAATCTTTGAAACCTTTAGGTCAGGGGTGTCCAACCTGCGGCCCAACAAATGTGTAAACAAAACCGACAAATTGTTTTATTTTTTGTTTATTTATTTATTTCAACGGCATAAACTCAAAAAAGAAGTTTCACAAAGCCGTAAACTTTTATACATATTTTATTTTTGAGTGAAAAGGAAATACTTTCAAACACTTGACAAAGGAATACTAAATAAAGCTGAAGTTGTGACTCAAAGGATTATAGACCCAAATTTAAGAAAAGGAGAGAAAGGCCAAAAGATAAAAAGTAGTGAGAAAGGTTAAATAGACCTTCTGTTATGCAAATATTAACCCTTAATTTTCCAACCTTCCTCATTACTTTTTATCTTTTGTTCTTTCTCTCATTTTCTCAAATTTGGATCTATAATCATTTGAGTTCCAACTCCAGCATTATTTAGTATTCTTTCCAGCGTTACAAGATTTGGCTACTTTGCGCCAAATTTGGTTACCCTTTTTTTTAGTTTGGCGTAAAAATTATTATTTTGCGCATTGGCTACTTTCTGGGCTACATATTATTTATAATATTAGTCAAATAAAAATGCACTTTAAAATGGTGTTTTGTCATTTTTTATTAATTAGAGACCCAAATAAAACAAATATTTGTGTTTTTCAAGTAAATTTTTGTTTGTCTCCTTTATAATAGATGAATTTATTTATTTCTAAGTAAAAATTGGAAGTCTGTAGAAGTAATTTTTTAAAAGATTCTTTTTCATGATAAAGTTTTAATACTTATTACTATAATCTAGACATGTTAATCCTTAAATATACAAGTATATTTAAGGATTGGGTCACAAATATATTATATATGCTTATGGCTCAAAACTGCATGACTTTTTCCAATGTGACCCAGAGGAACAAAAAGGTTGGACACCCCTGCTTCAGGTTGTCCAGAACTGAATCCAGTTGTCATATTGATCACCTTTCAACAGCATTTTAAGTTTGAGGAAGAGGAAAAGAGGAAATAATAACATGATGTAACATCCAATGAGTAAGGTAGCTTATAAAGCTGTATATGACAATGTTTTAGGCTATAAAATCTTGTATGAGCTTCATTCTATACACTGGAACATTGCCATGCAGCAGTGATTGAGTGCCTTTTTTTCCTGGTATTGTGGCTACATCTGAAGAATGAGTTAGCACCCAATAATTCTTAGCATTGATTATCCACTCACAAAAAAACTCATGGATAATCCTGACAGAATCAAAGAAAACAATAAGTATGTTTCAATTCAAAATCTTCTGCATGTTAACTTTTTCATTTTTGATGATCCAGAGTCTAGGATTCAGAACTCTAGCACTTCATGAATGACTAATATTGAAATAATTAAGATTCATTGTCAGTAACTACAGTTTTCAAGAAGTCTGCATCAGTATCAGAAGCTCTGATCATGTCATGGAAGCATTTCACTAGATCATTTTTTGCTTATTTGAAAGCATGTGCGCATGTGCATGTGCAGGACAAAATATACACAGACTTTCTGTTTGTCCAAATCTTTGGTTAAAACTCTTCTGAAAAATGATTTTCAGAATGCTAGTTAGCTCATCAATCAATGAGTTTCACAGATGCACAACAGTCACCAAAATAAATTCAACTTTTTTGATGTTCTCCAGAGTCAGAGATGTTTTTGGACAAATTGAGCAGAGCTTGTCATCTATCTTCTGTCTTCACAAAAACGTTTAAACTATCAGAATAAAACTGTGTATGGTGGCAATGTAATCATTTCAAGAGTTTCTGTGGTTATTTTGTCTAGTTAAAACAATTTGATGTTAGAATACTGTTTCATGTTATTCCTTTGACCACAGTACAAAACATACTGTCACTTTATCATCAAAACTTGTGATAAAAATATTATAATGCCTTAAACATTTAGCAATGAATAGCTGAAATGTAGCACCAAACAAAAATGGTTCATCGACAGATGGTTTATGAGGAACTGCATAGAAAATCAGTCACAAAGACTGCACAACATACCATGTACTGGTACATCAAATAAAAAACACCAAATGCATAAATTTATTGAATTACAATTAAAATGAAAAATGTACAAAAAATGGAGTATTACAAAACAGTCCAGAAATATCAATTTAAAAAATGTTTAAAGAATAACACAAAACATGTTTTTCATCATTTTAGATTTTTTCTTTGTATCAAATATCATACAAAGCTGTGCGCATGAATTATATTATACTGGGTAATCAAATAAAAAGTTTACTTGGGAGAAGTAAACTTGGCAATGCCATGAGCCAGTCAATGCTTGTTACTACTGATTATACATTATCAGAAACTTCAGTTTTGAACATTTATTTACTAAAGTCTATAAGAATAACATTTGAAACTCCTCATTACTTGATACCAAGTCTGACCCTAGAAAGTAAACGTTTTATTTGATCATCCTGTATAAATTCTAAACTTATGTGAGGAATTATGGAAAAGGAAAAAATAGTATACATATATATAATTTTATAATCAATGTATTTGTAATATCTGAGTAATTTCATGAGTTACCTGAAAATGAGGACTGGACACACATCTTGCTATTTGTTTAAATAAAGGTTCCTGTATCTTAACAAATTGAGAAGGTTCAATAACATCAAGTATTTCTTCAATTTCTCCCAGAAACATAACCTTTTACAATAAAACATAACAGGAAAAAATTAAAATTTATATTTTATATGTAACAAGTTTCTCAACCAACACTACATTTATAGTATTGGTTCAATTTACTGTATATAAAATATATAAAGCACAGCTATGTTTAAAGAAACAAATTACAGAAATGTCTATAAATTATGCAACAACTCTCTATATTTTTCATAACATTTTAAAGTTTTTTTTTTGAATCATTAAATGTAAAATAATAGGAAAGCTATCAAAAATATCAGTTTGTGTTGCGGCAAAATAACTTTTGCTTCCATCTCAACATTTAAATAAAATTAAATTAAACTTTTATACCATTCAAATGTCAATTAGAATTATTTAGGAGCTATATTCTTTAGTTACAATATGTCTATGGATGATAATACTCCAATTTATGCCATAACAACTTCTGCAGATAAATTTTAAGAAACAGAAACAATGTAATAAATTCAACTTCTAATTAAGTTAGTTACAGCACTATATTTTAGTCTAGAGCAAAACTATTGTCCTATTTGGTAAAATGTGGCTGCTACATGAGAAAGTCACAATCAATTCTGAATGCAAATGTAACTGAAAAAGAAATAAATTCTTATTTGCTTTTTTGGAGAACTTTAGAATGCTTATTTTAATACCTAAGTACTTTCAAATCTTTTGGTTAATTGTTGGAAATATAAAGCTGAAAAGTTTCATTTATGAGGGTCATTCAAATGAAACCTGACCAATGGAATATATCAAAGTGAGGATGTGTATAGCGAATCATTCTCCATTTGAAATGTAGGTGGAAACACTGTAGGCTGATGCTGCAGTATCATGTAGCTTGTTTGTAGTTATGTAAACCTACAAACAAGCTACGTTTGTTTAGCACGTCAGGCAGATACTTTGTCCAACATTCAAGCATAGATGTTCAACAATTGAGCTGATGGAGTTTACCATTTGTGGAACCACCATAAATGCTGTTTGGTACGTGAAAACTTTAAAATCTCTGCAAACTTCCATCAAGTCCAAGCGGCTTGGTCTGCTTTCGCAAGTTGTCATTGTCCTTCATGACAATGCCCACCCTCACACCATGCGCATCGTGCAGGAATCCCTTGTGAAATTCAAGTGGGAAACACTCCAGCATCCTGCCTACAGTCCTGACTTGTCTCCGTGTGATTTCCACGTTTTTGAGGTGTTTAAGAAGCATCTGAAAGGGTGTAAGTTTCAATTGAATGCTGAGGTAGAAGATGCAGTTCAGGAATGGTGCAGACATCAAACCCACTGAGTTCTATGAGCAAGGAATCAAACATCTGGTGTCACAGTGGGACAAGTGCCTTACTCATCAGAGTAAGGCACTTGTCCCACTAGACTAATGTAATGTACTGTACCTACTAAATAAAGTCATTGGTCAGGTTTCATTTGAATGACCTTCATATATAAAATGGATAAAGATTCACTTCCCCCTTTTATTTGTTACATTAAAAAAAACTATTGTAACAGTTAGGAAAAAAAAAACATTTTTAACTAAAAACATCAATTTTCTAAAAAAAATTAATAAATGAAAATTTCTGCAAGGAAAAAAAAATCGCAACAATCCAAAAAATTGGTTTGGGTTATTGTGCTTTAGATGAAGACATTGGCAGAGATTTACCAAATGTGTTTTATAACATTTAATCTTAATATCAATTAATTTATTTCAAAATTATAATGTGTTATTTATTGATCTGAAATTTTTGTTCTACTTTTAAAAAAGTAATTAAAATTTTTCAGTTTAAAAGATCTCATATCACAAAGAATTAGACTGGATTAAAACTGCCAGACAGTTTTGATTGTGTGCATGTGACTAACAGTAATCACAAGATAATCAAGAGATAAACTTACAGAATACATAGATAAATGAAACTGCTATTTAAATTATTCAAGTATTGATCTTTGACAGTCATTGTCTACAATGTATGGTTCGACTCCCAAACGTACATTTGGCTATTGATGAGCAAAGAACTAAGGATATGATAGTCTATAAGTGTATAAATAAGGTTACACCATTTTCATCAAGATGCTAATTATTTAATATACAATATATGTATTATATAGAACATAGTAAAAGGATACAAAAGGGACAACAGTAATATGTAGTAAGGTCCAAAAGTTTCCAGCCTGATCCCTTTTAAAAAACAGTCATATATTATTTTGTAATTGGCTGATCATTTAATCCACTAATAAATTCAAATAAAAATTTAATTGAAATCTGTTAATTAATTACCAAGATATTGTCAATTTATTGACAGCAAACAGTTGGAATGAATTTTGAAAATGTTTAAAATTGAGTATTAAGTCATGATTAAATTTTCAACAAAAGAAGGAGAAGTCCATCAGAGATTAAAGATTACCCAAATGTAGTTTATGGAGACTTTCCTCCTTCATATTCCACTGTAAAAGAATGAACACAACAATTCTGATTAGGAAGAAAGTTCGATGAAGACAAACCACATCAAATAAGGCTTACCAAAGNGCGGAAAAAACGTAAAATTTATTCTGGCCCATGTTATAAAAAAGGTTGCCCACCCTTGATATAGAACATAGTAAAAGGATACAAAAGAGACAACAGTAATATGTAGTAAGGTCCAAAAGTTTCCAGCCTGATCCCTTTTAAAAAACAGTCATATATTATTTTGTAATTGGCTGATCATTTAATCCACTAATAAATTCAAATAAAAATTTAATTGAAATCTGTTAATTAATTACCAAGATATTGTCAATTTATTGACAGCAAACAGTTGGAATGAATTTTGAAAATGTTTAAAATTGAGTATTAAGTCATGATTAAATTTTCAACAAAAGAAGGAGAAGTCCATCAGAGATTAAAGATTACCCAAATGTAGTTTATGGAGACTTTCCTCCTTCATATTCCACTGTAAAAGAATGAACACAACAATTCTGATTAGGAAGAAAGTTCGATGAAGACAAACCACATCAAATAAGGCTTACCAAAGTAGTTACTACAGAAACATCAATACAAAGATGTTTTGGAAGACAGGAGCTGAAAACCAACAAGTAAGCAGTGAGACATGCTGTATGAAAAATCAATGCTGAGGATCCTACACGAACCTCTTGGTACAAATAAGGTCAGTGCAAGATGGATGTCGAAACTTCTTTCTTCAGTTCAAAAGGAAAAGCAATTGAGATATAGCAGGGAGTTTTTATCTCTTTGTGAAGGACGAGAAAAAGTAGTTACTGAATTAATTATTGCTGGAGATGAAACTATGGTTCTTTATCATAATCATCTATCAAAAAAGAATCAATGGAAGAATATCAACCGAGTTCTCCAAGGCCCAAGAAAGCAAAAGTGATACAACCTCAAAATCATAGATATGATTTTTAGGGATTCTTAGGGGATCCTTGTGATTGATTTCAAAGAACACAATACCACTGTCACCAGAGAATATGCTTCTTTAATGCACCAATTAAGTGATGCCATTAAAAACATGTGGCAAGCTGTCCCACACTGTATTGCTGTTGTGCAAAAATGCACAGGGTGCACATATAAATTCTTGTGAAGGCTGCTATTCAAAAATATTGCTTCAAGGAACTAAATCACCCAGCTTACAGCCCTGATCAGGCCCAATGTGATTATTATTTGTTCTCAGAATTGAAGTCAGATTTGCAGGAGAAAAAATTTAAAACTAATGAACAATAACAGCAGATTTTAAAAAGAAAAATTTAGACTATTTTCATAAAGGTATAGAATTGTTAATAAAGTGTTGTAAAACAATATATTGATATACAAGGAGACTAAATTCTTTTGAATTATTTTTTGATATTCATTTTCTTCCAGTAAATTAGGGTCAGACCAGAAACTACTGGACCTTACTACATATGTTAGACACTAAGTAACTGCAAAAAAAATTGTATTAATGTTATCTTAAAACTCAGATAAAATCAGGGTCCTGTTGCATAAAATTCTTATAGTTGTTACAAGCTTTACAAGTTACAAATTTTAAACAAAATTTTCTGAGTAAAAACTTTTGTAACAAGTTACAAGTTGTAAGCAATTTGTCTATAAGTGAAATGTTAATTTTCCACTTTGTCTGGGTTAAGTTAAATTCTTTGCATCGAAAAACCTTATCCATTTCTGCATTGGACAGATTTCTGACTTATAGTAAAATTTAACACAGAGAATCCTCTGTCCAGAAGTATTTTTCTGTTTAGGCTAGTTTCCATTTTTTCAGGTTCTATTTTAGATAGATTTTACCATAGTAATAAACAATACTGAATATTTGTAAAATGTAAAAATTAACCCTTTAATTTGCTCTTGACAATGATGTAAGATTATATATAAATTAAATTTTTTAATAATTTCTATCACTTATAGGCACCTTTTATATTATCTGTAAAGAAAATATATATGATGAAAGATAATATTTAATTTTTATCATTCATCATGATTAACAAACAATATTTGAGTTATTTGATTCAAGCTTTCTTGCATTATATTCCACAATGACATTACTTTGAGTATAATCGTTCCTTTTTCATCTAATCAATACATATGACAGTGACAGAAAACTAATATACATATATGCTCTCTTCATTCTAAAAAATTACCCAGCCAATAATTTTAAATGAAATAAAATATTTCCTCTAAAAGTTTGCAGTTAACAATACTCACTTCTTTCTGACTACAAGTTTTTGGCCAAATTTTTAATAATCCTTTAACTACCTACAAAAAGGAAATGAAAGAAACAAAATTTTAATAATTATTGTGTGTGTTTTGATTTTTAATTTAATCAACAATATCAATTTTACCTGCTCTGTAAGAGTTGCATCCTTCTCGAGAAACTGAACAACACAATATGCCAACTGATAAAATGCACAAAGATAACAAAATTATATGCATTGGCTTTTATAACAGTATTTAAAAATGATTAAAGAAAATTTTATTACTTATTTTAAAGAATATTTGGAGAATTTTAAGTCCTATTTTTAAATCAATCAAAATAATTTATTAAATTTAGGCCAACTGTTAACCGAGGAAACCAAAAATTTTTAGTAGAACATTTTCAATTCTATACAAGTCATCTTTGGCACAAAAACAAGAAATTTTCGCAGAATAGAACACAATATAGAAGGAGAATATTTTTGAATCTGATGCTGAAGGCTGATGCATGAAAATGGTCGAAACTTTCAAATATCATCAATCATTTTATGCATTAATACTTACATAATGATCTACAAGTGTAACAATAGCCTTAAAACTAAACAAGTTACTGGCCTTTTTACTGGTCCACTAAAACCACAAAAAAAAACTAAACAAGTTTATCACAAATCCACAACTGCCTCCTAAATTCAGTAAGAATTGAATCTTACTATCTATAATAAATCAGAAGTGTTTACAGCTCTAGTTGCTAGGGCAATAACCTTTAAGATAAAGTTGATGAGCTTTGTCAGACTAATAACATTGCTAAATCCCATGACTTTCCACTCAATATGGTCAACAGCTTGGTAGAAGAATTCCACAAAAAATGTTACAGCCTAAATATGTCATTAGGTTTAAGAAAAAAAAGATCAATGTGTTACAGTTTTCCTGTAACACTGCACATATTGGACTCCTTTTCAGTGCTACTGGCCCACATACACTAGGAATTTAAATGGTAGGCTAGCTATAAGATTATCAATGTAATGAGCATCCCCTACTATAATAAACAGCAAATGAAATAGGATCTTAAAGAGATTTATGCTGTAACATAAAAAAAATGAAACACACATTTTTATTATATACAATCCACCACCAGATCAATTTAAAAAAAACATGTAAATGAGCACAGACATTCAATTACATACGATCTAGCCACATTTCACACTTCACTTATGCAGTGATGTGTGAGAAAGTTGTTGTCTGGGACCATCACATGCTCATTGCAGAATATAGAAGGGTTTTTCCTATCACGTCATTCATTAGAACAAATGTTTTGTCTGAAAATCTTAATGTTATATTAAGGATGCAATAACCCTATGTTCTCTCTAGCTGGCTGTCACTGCTAGATAAAATAGATCATTCATCACTTCCAACAAACTCGTTTTTATGTTTTACATTTTAATGTATCTTAAATTTATTTGATTTTAATTTAGGTTCATTATTTTGCATTACTTTATTTAATTTTTATTCTAATTGACGCAAATTGATGATATTCAAAAGTTTCAACCATTTTTGCAAATGGAACTTTGGCATTGGTCTAAAAAATGTTCTTATTTTATACTGTATTCTACTCTATAATGACTTTTGTGCTAAAGAGGACATGTGTGGAGACAAAAACATTCCACCAATAAAAAAGGATTTTGAATTTTCTCAATTAACAGTTAGTCCAAATTATTCTACAAATATAGTGCCAAGTTTTTTAGAATATAATAAATTTAAGCAAATTAATTTTTAGTAATAAGTTTTCATCATCATCATTATTATATATGATCAAATAAAATATAAAAAACAATAAGATTTACCTGAGCATGATATAATCCTAAGCATTTTGGTTTATGGAGAGGAATCAGAACTTTAACCAAAAACTGTTTATGCTCACTCTTAAGAGGTAAGGCAAAACCATTGATGATACTAAATACAAAAAAACAATTCGTTAATTTCAAAGTAATAAAATTTAAATATTATTTTATAATTTCATAAATATTTGCTAATATTAATGAAATTATATTATTAAATTATATTATACATGTTATTTGAACGGCAATGAAATTTTTGAAGTGAAATGACATATTCACAAAATACATATAATTTCTTCTGTAAATTTTTAAAAGTATTAAGTCACACACACACATTCCTTCCTATATATAATATATATGTTGCAGTCAAAACCAGTTTTTAGTTAGGATGCATTTTAACTAGTTGAAACTAGTTTATACTGGATGTCTTTGTTATAACTAGAATTTACTGCTATTCAAAAATGAATTTGAGTTAAAACTAGTTTTAACTAGATAAAACGGGTTTTTACAAAATGGCTTAGTAAAAACTATTTTGACCGAGGTCAAAGTTCATTCAGCTAACATGTGATAACACTTACAATCTTTAATTACAATACTAGCCAGTCAAGAAGACTCAGAAGCTGCAGCTAGTACAAGTGCAGAGCCTCAAATAATACCAGCTATTGACGAAAATCCAGAATCTGTAGCTAATGCGAATCAATAGACCCAAATAATAGCAGTAAGAGAAAAAGCTCATCTAAACTTGGAAAAACAGGCCCAGAGAATGAAATTAGCTTCGGATTCAATGTAGAATTCAGTGATAATATAATTATACCAATTCCTGATGTCGACAGAGCAAAAGCAGATCTCCGTAATATTATTGGAGTGATTCTTCAAAAGGATAAACAGGGTTTGCACTAATTTGGAATGAAATATAGGATACTCGATAAATTGTATTGCAAGTATGTATTGTTCAATTGTGCCACTGTTTAATGTTGCCAACTATGCAGTTAATTTGTTAATATTTTGAGGTCTAATTATTATGAAAAATTTTTTTTCCTTTTTTGGGCATAATTTACCATCATTATTATTAATTAAAGAGTCAATTTAAAATAATGAACCTATTTAAAAACTTAAATGTACCTGATCAGATCAGAATTTGACATGTCGAAAGAAAAATTCTTGCTACTAGAAGGAGTGCCAGAGACAAATGTATCTTTAAGAACTACTGCCAGGAGAGCAGCCTTAGGAACAAAGCCAAGGTACGCTGTTTGTGTAAGAAGGCATGTATGTCGAAGAGGTGCTTTTGTAAAAAAAAAAAGGCAACTTGTGTAACTCTAAATGACATGATAGTTTACCTTGCAATAACAAGTAATGTAAACTTAATTTTTATATTTATGTTCCTTTATTGAATGATTATTTTTGTATGACTTTAATTAATATTACTGATGTTGTTTTAGTGTTAATATTGCCTACATGGCTCTGTGATTTTCCTTAAAAATATTCCTATAGTGTATGATTAATTTCCTATCACTTTAATTAATTTTAATAACACAGATGTATGACCAACATTTTCAATAAATATTGTATTAAATAATACAAATGTTTTAATCCCAATCATCACTTTATTTATTTCCCCCAATTAGTTTTAACTAATGTTCAAAGTTAAAACTAATTTTATCTAAAATCCAAACATGTATAGCAGTAAATTCTAGTTATAACTAGGAAATTCTAGATGTAACAAAGATATCAAGTATAAACTAGTTTCAACTAGTTAAAACGCATCCTAACTAAAAACTGGTTTTGATTGCAACATATATATATATATGAGTATGGATCTCCTAACTTTGAGATCAACCTTTTTATGGAATTCATAGCAGTTTATTGACTTCCAAATAAAAATAAAATATTTAAAATCAAATATGAATGAATGAAGTTAAATGAAAAAAGGTAACAAACAAATTATTTTGTAATACATGTTATTTTACAAAAAAAGTCCTTCAGTTTCTTGTTCTGTGGTGATTCTTTCTTCTTTGCTGCATTGTTTCAAAGATGTCTCAGCATCCTTTACATGGATGGTCTGTCTTGGACACATTGGGCTCTCTCTCACCGCCCAGCCAAACCCACAACGAGCACAGAGAAGACCCTCTGTGTCCGTGGGGCAGAAAGTGAATTTTAAAAAATTCAGTTTAGCATCATCCACTCACTTGGTGTTGTCATGGCACTACAGTATTTATGTGCTCTGTGCAGTCATGGCAAAGTTTTTAAAAATTGTAAAAAAGTAGTGCTTATAGATTCGCCTTGAATAATGGGAAACTTTGATTAATCTGAATTCTACCAAATATAAATTAATATATTTATAAATGACACATTTTTATTTTTCATATAAATACTTGAGCTATAATTTTTTTTTCCTTGTTAAATTTTCTTGTAATGATGCTAAACATGTGAATTCAAATAGTTGAGTAAATATGGAAACAAATTTAATAAAGAGAGAGAAATGCAGATTTTTAATTAATTATATGTTTTCATATTCTTTGTCATTACTATCAATACGTAAAATAAAAATTTCACTTTTAAAATTTATGGATGTGATATCAAGTAACATAATTATGATTTTATGTAAAAATTTTATGGATATGACTAGAAGTGTTATCTATACTTAGTGTGTGACAACAGAAAACATCTCTCAATATCCCACAAAACAAATATTAAGACGTTACGAGCTACAACATTAAAGAAATATAAATCGCTGGTTCAGGAATAATAGAAAAATCTGTAGCATCCAATTTGCCTACTTTGCACTGAAACACTAATTGATTATTATAAAACACTATCACATTATAAACTAAACAGCATCCATAGTTATGCCTATTATGAATGACCCGAACGACCATGGGGTCCGAGGCATGATCGAGACAAAAAATAAGCACCAAACCCTATCACTACGGAGTACACTAATATCTTAGCATGCTACAATTTGATCAACTTACATAAAAAAAATTCAAAACAAAAAAAGGAAACAGTTATGCTTTTACCTGAAAAATTATGAAGATATCTACTAAGGAGCATACAATAGTCATTCAAACATTTCTTTAAATTAACAACAATATTTTAATAACTTAACTTATTAACAAACTTAATTTTAGCTTCATTTGTGAATGAACAAGATTCACCAATGATTCAAAATTATAAAAAAAAAAGTTTTTCAAAAGCAGAGTTTTATCAACAATAAAGCACTACATCTTCTATTCATACATTATTTTTTATTCAAACTGAAAAAAAATTTATTTATATAATGAAGTTTGGCACTGACTGTAAAAATGAAAATTATTTTTAAAATTAACATCAATCAAATTTATGATAAACGAACAAGAATTCTTTGAAAATCCAATATACTCTATATAGATTGGAATCAGTGATCTATCAATAACCATGCAATAACAAGTCATTAACATATGTTAATGACAATTTATGATACTCAAATTTTGTGTTTAAATCTTCATTTTTGAATTTGCTATCAATATAGAAAAATAAAATAATAAATATTTCTCACCTGCCCAATATTTCTAAAAGTTCTCCAACACCATTAAAATGCTCAGTTTCATACACAAACCTAATAAAAGAAAATCAGATTGTCATTTAATTACGTATTTTATTTATTTTTATATTAAATGAATTGTTTCTAAAATTAATTAAAATGAAATAAACTTATAAGCACTATGTTGGACTTTCTTTATTACTAGACTTAGACTTATTACACCGTCATTTGACACAAGACCAGCCTTAGAAAATCACTTCAATTTCACAAATATTCACATTATAAAAAGCTGATGAGGGACTTAAGGTCTGAAATGCATTCTTTTTGGAAACAAAGTGATTTTCTAAGGCTGGTCTTGTGTCGAATGATGGCGTAATAAGTCTAGTAATAAAAAAAAAAAAAGGTTGACAGTGCTTATAAAACAAGTTCATACCAAAACTAGACAAGAAGCATATTATAGTATAGAAATAAACTTATATTTACTTATTTATCAAAAGTATCAAAATTCTATAATTAGTCAGAAAAAACAAATCTTTGAAATAGAGAACTGGTTTTAATTAAAATGGATTTTTGGAGAAGCTTTAATTCTGTCATTTGTTCTTATCTTTTTAACATTTCTTTTATTTGCTATAGTTAAATATGAAATAAATACATTAATTCATTCATTACATGTCTGATAGTCTACTGTGTCTGCTGATTAATATTTTCAATTACTGCAACTGCATTCAACAAATTAAATTATACTTATTTTTTATAATTGTTCTAAAAAATGTAAACATCCTACTAAAAGTAGAATAATAAATATTCATTTGAAATAACATTAACAAGTGAATAATTCATAATTTGTGCCTTACAAAATTTTTTTGCAATTAAATTTAATTTATGATTGTTATAAATATTTAATCTGTCGTGACAAATACATTATAAATTATTCAGTATTATGTAATAAATGTATTAATTTTATTTAAAACTAATGTTGCTAGAGGTCTGATAAGATCTCTGATGGCTAAACAAATATTTTATTAAATAAAAATAAATCCAATTGAATTGCAAAGTTAAATTATTACAGGTTTGCATTAAAATATCAAAGAATACAATAAGACTAGTGTTTCTAATCACTAAACTTGGAAAGCTGAGATGCAAATTTTAAAATGCACAGTTAGCAAATGTGCTGTCATTCTATATTCTCCATGGTCATCTGTAGACAGCGCGAGGAAAATAAATCTTTGAACTGTAAAAATGCTTTTTTGACATCAATAGATGCAAGATAAACATATTTGGTTTTCACTAAAACTCCAGGTTTTGTAACTAAAGAGACTAAGGAATTATATTCTGAATATCCAGATTTTTGCTCAGGGAGAGTATTCTAGTTTCTCTAAAGCAAATCCATCTGACTGGTTTTTGGCATGTTTAAATATTCTCCCACGGTTTCTCAGTAGAGAAACGTGGTTTCCTCAAGATTAGAAACAGAACTGCACAGGAACTTGTATAAACGAATAGTGTAGCATTCCTTTAACACAGTTTCTTATTTCAACAGACTTGAGTTTGACTGCAAACACTGAAGACTTTTTATCAGTTTATCAATGAATTCTCTCTCTCATGAATTAGAAATTTTTGGCAAATAAAAAGAAGCCACTTGAATCCACATGCTCCATTGGGTTATTAGTGTGTTTTGGGAGTAACATGTTGTTGGCCAAAGAAAATTCTGTCCTAATTGCTTCACCTACCTTGGTGATGTGGAAGACCAGGTATGTGAGAGAATTAGTTTTTAATATGTTTCTAAAAACTTTACATTAAAATTACTAGGACATTGTGTTAGTAATTTTAATGTAAAATTTACTAATTACTGTAATTAGTTAAATTTAAAAATACTTTGTCATATCACAATAGAATTGAGGTGGAGCTGGAAAGAAAGAAGCAATCCCCGCACTTGTTAGGCACAGGAGAGGTAATCCTTGTATCTGATGGATGCAGACAAGTCAACTTTGCACTTGCTGCCACAAGAGAGGCAATCCTTGTACCTGCTGGCTATGGGAGAGGTGATCCTTGTATCTGCCAGCCATGAAAGTCATGATCCTTGCAATGGCCAGGTATGGAGAAACAATCTTTGCACTTGCCGACACAAAGAGGTGATGTTTTGTTCATTTTTTTGTGCCTATTTTCTGTTAGGTGTACTCAATGCTGTTTATATTTTTGAACCCTAGGACTAAATTCGTTTAGGCATGCTCAGTTGCATAAGAGAGCACGGACATTGTCAGTTTAACCCCTCTGTATATCAAAAACCTTTCAATCCCTATTTTTTACATTTAAATGGACACTCATTACTGTTTTTCCCCGAAAATAAGACAGTGTCTTATATTAATTTTTGCTCTGAAAGATGCACTAGGTCTTATTTTCAGGGAATATCTTATTTTTTCCATGAAGAAGAATTCACATTTATTATTGAACAAAAAAAATTCCCAAATCGAACTTAGACGAGAGTGACGTATATCCAGTCGTGCTGAACTGTCACCTTTTTATAGCGTCAACATCGGGCTCGATGACCAATTAGTGCTTACTGAACTGTATCACTATGCAAATGTTATGTGGCGTGATTCCTGGCCGACCAATTAGCCATCACCAGCCATAACGTTATGCAAATCTGTGATTCCCAAGCCATAGTTTTATGCAAATCATGCCGTGTGGCTGATTGCTGACCAATCAGTGGCTGTACTTTCAAAAAACCAACAGCCACTTTCAACCATCTGTTGATGACAGTTACAACTAAAAAAACTTTGCTAGGTCTTACTTTCGGGGGAAGGCCTTATATTTAGCAATTCAGAAAAACCTATGATAGGTCTTATTTTCAGAGGATGTCTTATTTTCGGGGAAACACGGTATATTTTTGGATTCCTCATTGCAATTTTGGAAAATGACCAAGTTTTGTCAAAATTGACCCATTAAGTTTTGAGAACAAACTCAACTCTGTAGTGAAGCCCATAGAAGATGTGCTAGCAACTATGAAACATCGCACAACAAAGTTGTGTGATTTGTGTGATATTGCTTTGTTGCGTGTACTTGTGAAATGACCTTATATCTCAAAAGCAAAGTCATGGACCCCCATTTTTTTTATTCCTCATTGCAATTAATGGAAAATGGCAAATTTTAATCAATAGTGATCAAACAGATTTTGAGAACAAACAATTCTATAAGCCTCACAAAAGAGGCTTTTATGACACTGCACCTCTAATATTTTATTTTAAACTTTCATTTACCTACATAATAAAATTTATAAGTAATATAAAGTAAATAAATGCACTAAATAGAATTCAAAACAATAGACATATCTAATACCAGGCAATTATACATCATTAGTAAGATATAATATACAAATAATTATGATTCATAAGAATTAAATTAATGTGATACATCTGCAATATATTATCAAAATATTGTATTATAACAGAATTATTTAAAACTAACTATTCTGTTATAATTCTGTAATAAAGTAATAAGTTTCAATTTAGAACCAATAAATGAATTCAGAGGATTTTAAACAGATTAAATGTCACAAAATCATTTCTATGTAGAATCATAATAAAATGATTAGTTCTAAGTATTTAATTATTATGTTATATTAATATGTTACATTTCACATATAGATTCACATCTTATTGATAATGCGTAGTTGCCCATTGTCCATTGTGTCTATAATGTTAGCCCTTCAATATCTAAATCCACAGATCCATACTACCACCTTTCTGTTTTATCGCTACAGAATTATTAATTGTGACAATCAATAATTCTTCTATAACCTCAACTATTCAAAACTGGATATAACTTAACAAGCACTGCACATACAACCAATATCTAAAAAAGAATCTATAAGAAAGCAAACATTTTCATTCATGTTTAATGGGCATCATCAGGCTAACAGTTAGTCTGACAATGCCTCTTAAACATGGATGAAGATGTTTGCTTTCTTGTAGTTTTTTCTTGCTGGATATTGGTTATTATATGTGCAGTATTTATCTTCTGTAACCTTTAACAAGGCAACTCTAATGTCCAAATATATCACAATTGCCTAGTCTCAGTATACATAAACTTCTCTAGATGAAAACTGCTTTAGACTTTGTCTAGATAAAAAGGCAACTACATTGTATAGTATTTAATTTTACTTTGTCCTTAAAGAAAAATAATTTATCTATATTATTATGGCATAAACAAATATTTGTATTTAGTTTTCCAGTTTAATATGTCAATGCTTGAAAGTTTAAATTTATTTTGAATTAAAATGCAATTGTCATGTGCTACCCAGGTAATGAACAATTTGAATATTGGCATGTTCTAATAATAGATTTTTTGATTTGCCAGAATGAAACTGATCTAAAACAGAATTGTATATTCCGTGTATATAAAAATGCTAATCCATGTCCTTTCATGATGCTTATAACTGTGTAAAGTGATATATTTAGTTAATGATAACCATAGATTTGTATGATTTACTTAAGGTTAGTATGCTTAAATCTTAATTTCATAAGCTGAATAATTAAAAAAAATAATAATAATAATGTAGTCTATTTGATATATTTAAAACTAATTTCTAGAAATAAAATATTAAAAGAATTTCATCAATAAATTTATTAACAAATTACCTTAAGAATATATTATTGATCTGTTTTCTAATAAAAGCTCGAAGACCAAGAAACTTTCCATAAATCCTGTGTAAAACTGTTTTCAGAAAATCTCTCTCTCTTGGATCTTCACTATCAAATAGTTCAAGGAGCTGAAATTAAAATGTTAGTTTTAATAAATCATTTTATAAAATTATTCAAATAAAAAATTAAATTCCAAATTAGTTTTGTAGTTACATCTACTTAATTCTAATCATTTTGTCTTTATAATTAAATAAACAAACAGTTTTTATATATTGGGTTGAGTCATAAGTAATGTCATTTTCTGAGCGTTATTTTCATGCTATAACATAATTTACATAATACAGTAAATTATCCTAACAGCATTCATCCTAAGTACTAACTTTTTAAATTACTTAACAGTTTTAATAATGGTTTTTGACTATTTTTAAAAAGTGAAATTATTATTGTCAATCAAAATGAGCTTATCAAAATATTTAAGTCATGTAACATTATATAATTTTTTAAAAACAACACTACAGTTACAGTGACAAACAATATATGCAATGTGTATGGCAACAATACCTCAAATATCAGAAAATGTCAGCAGTGGTTCAAAAAAATTTAAAGACAAGGAATTTCAATCCCGCAGATGAATCTCATTCTGGACGGCCTTCTGGCTAAGAAAATATTGAAACTGTTGCAGTAGTGGACATTTACTCAAAACTATAAGAAAAATTGTAGAAAAACTTAAGAGTGTCACAATCAACAGCCATGATACCCATCAGTCTTTGGTATACAGAAGATATTCCCACTATAGCCTAATTAGCAGGAAAGATTTCAAAAAAAGAAATCAAGTAAATGTTTAATTATATCAAAAAATTCATAAGAATATCAAATCTGACATATCAAACATTTACAACAAATGTTTGAAGTGGCTTGATGTTATTTGATTATGGCAACATGACACCTGGACAATTTGTCAAGAGAGGAAATACCTCCAGGTGGTCTTTTTTTGGGAAAATGGTCCCTATTTAGGCATTACTAATGTGAAGAAACTCACAGAACTGTATCTTGCCAACAGGTTGGTCATGTAGAAAATTCCACATGACCAACCTGTTGGCAAGATGCAAACCCATGACCAAACTGGTGTTCAGTGATTTTACCCACTTGCCTACTGGTGGACATCTGAAATGGCAATCGCCAACTTCAGTACAGAGAGTATAAAGACAAACCCATTTTATTATACTCTCTCTCGAAGAGTGCTTGTCCTCTTTTAACAGTATCGAATGCTGAAATGATATAGATGGACAGTTCTTTGTTTACACTGGCATCATTTCATATACAATACTCTCTACATATCTTCAGCAAAAGAAGTTGAGTGATGGCAAGTCCAAATTTTCTGCAGGCTGTAGCTCTAGTAATATTTTTATGACCTTAGACTGCTTCAAAAAAATATTCATTTCATCAATTTCTACTATATCCCATCCCCATAAATTTATGGCATGTCAAGCATTAACACCCTGTATACAGGGTGATCCATCTATAATGTCCCTGACAACCTTTAGAATTTCAATGATGTGATTCCCATATTTTTCTTGCTTTTTGATTCTCAATTTAAAAAAATTCAGATATAAACATCTAAACTCAATAATTATATATTGCCAAAATAAAAAAATAAAGCCAAATGATTGCCGGATTATGTCTGGCTATATAACTACATTTAATTAGTAATAGTAATAGTGATATAGCTGAGTATAATCCAACAATTGTTTGGCTTTAATAAAAAAAAATCCAGCAACAAGCTGTGTAACTTTTCTGGCAACACCATTAAAACTGCATGTGATTCTATCTGTTATAATATTTTATTTAAAAACTTTTTATATAATTAATTACAAAAAGCTTAATTTTGAGGGTAGGGATGAATTTCATAAAAACTGTAAATGCCAGTAACAAATAAAATCTTCATTAAATCAGACTCCACTTAAAAAAAAGTTTTATTTATCACATTTGTTCTTTATTACACAACTCCATCTTCCTCCGTACCCCAAATTAACGCTGGGACAGTTTCCATATCAAAACTCCGTAAGCCAAACATGCGGACGCCATCTTTACGGCAAAACCGTGCATTATAAGAAAAAACGAAGAAGCACTAATTACACAGGAAGGCAGTGACTGAATCAATGTTAAAAGCTTTAATTTTTCGGTATTGAGTAACGATTTAGAAGAATATTCTTCCATAGTCGGTAGCAGGCCCTGGATCTTCTCCTGTAGGGATACACACATCCCTACTGTCAAACATAAGCACAGTATTAGCATAATGTGCCTTGCAAAGTATCGACTGCACTTCGCATCCATACCTTCCACGGAACAACACAAATTCCCTCTATCTCCCCCACTCCTCTGACCTTTAACTAATAAAATTTAATGGCATCAATCCACCTAATACACAAAACTCCCTGCAAAATTTCAGAAATTTTCAAACAAAGGTGGAGGAGATATTAAGCTTCAAAGTGAATAAATGAAATCATACTCCACACATACCTATATACATACAGAGAAAAAAACCAAAATTTTTTTAACATTTCTTGATGTTTCAAGGTCCCTCAAGTCCAAAATGACTACACATATGGCACAATATTGGAGGTTTTCATAGTATCTGAATTTATTTTTTATCAACATAATATCTGGGATCTTAAATACTTTCTAGTATTCAAGTATTTGTAGATAGGATTTACCCACCTCCAGTTACTAGTATTAATAAAAAAATTTACTTGACATATTCTTGTCTATTTACTTGATTTTTTATTTCTTTAACAATTTCTTTTCAACACATCATAGTTAAATCTATTTAAATATTATTGCATGAAAAGATATATATTATACAATAGAGATTTACCTTTTTTTAATCAGAAAATATTGCACTTACAAAGAAAAACCACAACATATAAAGCAAAATTACAGAAGAAATTGTACAATATTAATTTTAAATGAACATTTAATCCAATTCATTAAACTGTTAACAAGTGAAATTTGCTTTTACCTAGTTTTAAAAACAAAATAATTTGAGTAAAAAGCTTTCAGAATTACTATAAACAATTTCTTTAACTAGTTTTTGTTTACTTTAAAGTAAAATTTTATCAAAAACGTTTTAATCTATTTATATGTTATCTTATTTTAAGAACAATACTTTTATTATTTTTAGTTTATTTTCTAATCTTCTTAATAAATGATACTCAGTATTGAAGACAGTCCAACATTATTGAATTTTAAAAATTTTTGTAGAAAACAATTCAAATTAAATTAATTTATCCAAATAATAATGGATTAAGCAACAGAAACATCCACAATAAGAACAATATAAATGCATACAGTGTTTTTCTTTACAGATTAATAACAATTTTTATTTTATTTTTTCATCCTAAAAAAAACCAGAAAAAAAAACAAATTTTTTTATTCTCAGAAATTATAAATTTCAATTAAAATAAATCAATGATGTTAATGACAAAAAATTTTATTTTATTATATATTTAACCAGCATTATTATTCTAGAACAATGTGAAAAGTTACTTTCAATATAAAATGTAAAAACCTAGTTGTTAGATATTAAGACAGCTAATACATTTAGTATGCAAGCTATTGTTCTAGAAGTGAAAAAGGTTTTTGTTTTGTAACTGTTTTCAATTGGCATTTGTTCATTCTTTGTTTAAAAAAAAATACTCTTGATGCATTTTTAGTCTCAAGATCCAAAAGAATGGTTTTCTTGCTGACAAAAGAAAAGTTGATTGAGCAAATTTTAAACAGTACAAAAACAACATCAAACTCAATTCAATTCCAAAATGATGTGCTTTTATTTTTTTAATTAAGATAATAATGACACGATGAAAACATTATTAAAATGTGATAAACATACTCAATATATAATAATTTTATATGATATACTAGTTCCTCATTACCTCGTTCATTCAAATATATCACATTAATATTTTGTCTTCCAAATATAAAAGCGCTTTAACCAGTAATGAATAGAAAAATTTATGTTGGTTACATTGCACCGTCTGATAAATTGCTGAGTTGTTTGTTCATTTCCCTATGTGCAAAATATAACGAGGTACTACCATAATAATTTTTTTAGTAATTAGCTTATAACAATCATATTATAAGAATGTATATATAAAGATAATTACAGTAAGACCTTACTTAGATGGAGTTATAAAAAATTGACATACAAACTATAATTAAAGTACTGTACTGAATCCTGCTAAAAGTTTAATACAGATAAAAGTAAACAAAAAAAAATTAAATTAAAAATTCATAAAATACTGTACATGCTTTGCAATATACAGTAATTCAAACTTTCATATAGGGTAATGCATTAATGCTGAATAACAGAACATCAAAGACAGATTACATGTACAGTGAATGCAAGCTATTTGCAATAATAGTTCATTCAAGCAGAAGTTGTGGATTTTAGTCTGCTCTTTCCTTCTAGAACATTTTAAATTATTAAATTTAATTCAAAAATTATTATTATTATTAAAAGTAATATAAGATAATGGCTTACCTGTCTACCTTCACACCAAATTATTAAGCTTTGATAATTAATTGTTAGCCAAACTTTAATATGAAATAATTGGTATTTAATGTTTGATTTATAATAATGTTCAGGTTTATATATATAATATAATTATTATTATTACTAATACATTTAAAATAATAATCCCAATATGCTTTCATATATTTGGTTCTACTGTGAATGGAATAAATAAATATTGTACAACTGTCATAAGTGAATATATTTATAACAATATAGATCTACAAGACTTGTTAATCAAAATTTATAAATCAATATGCTATTTTTCATAATTTTACAAATGTTATCTATAAATTGGCATGATAATCTAATGATAAAAATTCATCAAAATTACTTTAATCATCTATGAATACCAATACTGAATTTGCCTATTTTCTCATTCCTCTATTTTCTATTCAATTAATTTTGTTAAATACAAGTGATCTAGCCTTATATAAAAATAAAGTGATGGTGAGTATTGATGAGCTTACTATAACTTTCAGTGACTATCTTAAAATGAATATTTCTCAGCCTACATATACTTAGAAATTTCCCTCATATTTAAGTACACTTAGAACTGACAAAGTTCTTAATTACTAATGCAGATTCTCTCCAATATTTAAAATTTTGGCATGCAGTTATTTACAATTATTTATTGTTAATAACGATAGTATTTTGTGTTTAAAAAGACAGTTTGCTTTATTTTAAATTCAAATTCTTTATACTTTTAAATTATTTAAAAAATTTCCTTTTATCTGATGTAATTTATACAGCATGTTTGAAAAGTTTCCAACCTACCCATGAAGAGGTCATTACCAGGCTTAAAACATTTCAAATACACCTTGTATATTATGTCAAGTTACAGAAAAGTCTTCAACATACAATAATATGTTAACAGGCCTCAGGAGAGAAAATGGCTTCAAAATAAGCGAGAATAGTAACTCCTAACAAGGAAAAAGTGACTAAACAGTGACAAATAAAATTAGTTGGTCATGATGATATACAGTCGACCCCCCTATAAGATATAGATACATTCCATTCTTTAGGAATCCGATTTCTTACGAATCCTTCCAATCACAACCCGACATGTGTCAAGTTTACGGACTACGGCTGTTTGAAAGATTTTCTTCCATAAAATTAATCGATTCTAGACTAATCCGACTCAACATTTCCAAAATACGTATATATTTTTTGGGATAAATCAGTATAAACTATGCTATAAACAAAAAATTGTAGGATTACTTACCGAGTGTGCACCGCCATTGCTAATGCTTGTTTTCGTCGTGGAGCGTCCCTCCGCGATGAAAACAAGTTATTTTTCTGCGAAAACTTCGTTGAACTTCGGAGACATCATTAATATAAATAATTTTTATCCGTTGAATAAGAAATGTTTCTTTCACAAGAAATGTATAAAATTACACTTAAATTACAAATGTATTAGACTTACGGTAGCTAATTTACATACTGTACAGACGATAGTTAGCGTAAAATCTCCGTAGCGTAACGCCACGCGGCGGAAAAAATATATATAATTATAATAAAGTTACAATAAATTAAGTTAATATATATTTATATATACAGTACCTAATTTATATATAATTAATATATAATTATATGTACAGTACCTAATTTATATATAATTTATATAATACTGTCCAGACGATAGAAATCTCTCCGTAGTTGGCACTATGGACGGTGGGAAAGTAGTTCGGCTGCCCGATGACGTTTGAGATAATTATAGGGGGTTGTTTACTGTTTTTTACGGATACCGGTCACAATTTTTTTGTAGTTTTATAGAAATCGTAATTATAGGGGGGTCAACTGTATATTATTTGTAAGGAGACAACACAGTGTCTAGACATTTGTGTGAATTTCTCGCACAAATATGTGAGAAATCAGTTTCTTGCTTCTGCATAAATGTTGTTGCAATTGTGAATTCTGGTCCAAAAAGTTTGTTTTTGTGTTTTCCCCCTCTACTCACATTTGTATAAATGCAGCCTTACAGCAAATACTCAAATATATGCCAGTCTCTGGCAAAACCAAAATGCAAAAATTCCCATTTCCTTTTCGAGTGCGCTGTACATGAGTCAATTAATCAAAATTAGCAAAAGGGGTCATTAATTATCTTTTGCTCTAGCTGTATATTTTGAACTGTTCTTTATTCAGTTTCTTTATTTTTTGTAGAACATAACTGTAAGCTATTAAGTGCTGGGTCGGTCAGTCAGTTCAGTAATTAAATGCAGGAAGAGTCTATTAGAATATATACGGCATGTCTCGCTTCAAAAAACTTGACAGAAAAATTGCCTTTATATTTACCATTCTTTCTAATAAGTTATCTTCTTAAATTTTGCAATTTTAACCAAAAATTTTAATTTTGCAAATTAAAATTTTTGTTTAAAATTATTANACTGAATAATCAATATTAATTAAGGTGAAGATGATGTTATAAAATCAAATTTACATAATGCATAATTCAGATTATATTAATTAATTAATTAAACATCAACATTAACTACTGCCCAGTACAAAATAAAAATCAGAATTTTTCTTAATATGTGCAACTTCTGAGGCTAAATATTTTGAAAACCTAGCTAATTTCCTTTTTAGTCCTAATTAACCTAATTTTAATACAATTTAAGTATCTTTTGTAGTTATTTTTTATATTGAATTAAAGTTGTCTAGGACTTTTTGATTCCCCTGTACCTCCATGTTTTGGAAAAAGACTTAATATCCTTTATACATTCTCATACCTTACATCATCTACTTTACATCCATACCACACAATAAAAAAAAAAAACTTTTAACTGTCTGTCTGAAGCAACATCTGTTTTAAATTTCTTATTTTAAAATAAAAATGATATTGATGTGTGGCCTTTGTAAACAAATTTGACATCTAAATCATGATTAATAATTAGAATTTGATAAATCATAAGAAACTGCATTAGAGCCTTACCATTTTCAAATTAAAGAATAAATCAAAAGATAATGTCTAAAACTGAGCTTTCAGCTTGCTTTTTCATCAGATAAAGCTTTCTTTAAAATGTGTATAAACTTCATCAAATATGATCAGAATTCTTAATACTGTTTTATACTGTATATGTTTATAGATTATTTAACTCATTTTAAAACAAATAAATTAACATATCTATTAATGAAATATTCAGAGATAATAAAGAGAAATCAAAGATTGCCAGAATACTTCTGATATAATTATACTCCTTGCAGGTTTCAATAAAATTTGAGTTACATCTTTGAATTCACATGTGGAAGGTGGAGATTTTGTATCCAAACAGATCATACAAATTACACAGAATATAAAGTTGTGTTGAGAATACACCAAAACTGCTCAGTTCAGTGAGCCAAATATTTTATAAGAAACATCACTAGCCTAGATCAACTATATAAAACCCATAGACCTTTTGTGAGGTAGGAACCAGAGAATTCTATCTACATTTTCTATCATGTGGTGGAGTTATAGCCCAATTATTTAANATTTTGAGGGTATAGATGAGTTTTATATAAAATTATAAATGCTAATAATGAGTATGATCTTCATGAAGTTTGACTCCATTCGAATTACAACATGTCACACATTTCTATATTTCCACTTCTCGATCTATAACCACCAAAATTCAATAGCATCAATACCCTTTAATCATTACCCCTCCTGAGAGATTAAACAAAATATTAGCCAACACACATGGAATTTTTTTATCCCATTTTTGGATTCAGAAGGTATCAGAACAAATAAGGAGATTTGCAAAAAAAAAATCTTCTCTGAGGATCAAGTTTGACAAGATTCCACTATTTTCCTGTGTTATATACGTAACAAGCTGAGAAAGTAAAACATTACAGAATTTATTAATGAATAATAAATAAAAGCAATCTGTTTGTTATAAAACTATAAATTTATTAAATTGTCCCTTAATAAACAAATTTTATAAAATATTAACTTGAAAAAATTTAATTGGTAATTTTGTCACACTATCATAATTATTAAAATAAAAATTGAGAAATGATAAATAACTAGTGTTGTTTTAAATTATGTTTATCAATTTTTTGCACTTGGTTTTCATTTTCAGACTGGTTTATTAACACCCGCCCTCAAATTGAAGGTTAATTGTAATGGACTTGGAAGAAATTAAAATACTGTACTTTGAAAAAAAAAATTTGTAGATGTTAGACTGTGCACTCTCAAATATTGCATGACTAACATTTTTTTAAAATCTCAAAAGTCATGTAATAACATGAAGTTTTCAATGTGAAACAAGATGCAATTTAAGTATTTAAACATTAACATAAAACATAAATGAAGTAACATGTAACAGCTTGATGTCACAAAAATGTTGTTGCCCATAACAGCAGAAAAAGTAAGAAATAGTGATATACAGTAGAACCTCAATTATCCGGACTAATTGGGGATGAAAGTAGTCCGGATAAGGAAAAATCCGGATAATCGAAACAAATACTTTAATTTGTCCTTTAATGATAATACAACACATTTTCTTTTCGATGACATATCAGTAATATTAAAAATAAATACTGTATTTAAATCGTGATCAAATTTTCAAGAAACAAACGTTCGTATTGAATTTGGACTACTACTGACCAACGCTAACAGACTACCTATTGTTTAAAAGGCCCTCTGGTGGCGCAAGAAGACGGATTTTATAAAATAAAAAGCAGTTGAAACTGCATTTTTATGAATAAAAATTTGACAAACTATTTATCGTTTTATGACGAGTAAAATTTTTTCGTCGCGTTCGCGGCTTTTAAGTAATGCATAAACCTTCGAGGCGCGAGGCCCTTCGGACCGCGAGGCATAGGCGGTGGCCCACGTTGCCCATGCCTTACGCCGCCCTTGGTTATAGAAATGATGTAATTTGAGTATAAATTATTTATAAATACATATGTCAAGTTATATTTTTATTACGACGCAAAATATATTTAAGAGTTTACGACCACTGTGCTGGGTGAGACATTGTTGAAACAAAAAATGTTATGCATTCCATCACGTACATAAACAGTGTCGTAATTCGCCAAGTGCAAATCAGCAAATTCATAAAATTTTTGCTTATTTTGAACAATCTGAATAATCGAAAATCCGGATAATAGAGGTCCAGATAATCGAGGTTCTACTGTATCATCAAAATATGTGAGAAAAAGTGACTAATTTAAAAGTAACTTTCTGATGACTGCATTAACTTTACATTAAATAATTTATATTTTGGTTAAATAAAACCTAATAATATTACAGAAAGATATTTAATTGCAATAAAATATTCTAATATAAAATTTTAAATAAATGTAAAACAAATATGAAAAAAACAATACCTGAAGAACAAACTTTTGATCAATCACTCGCTTTCCAATTCCAGGTTGAAAATCTGGACATTCAAGAAATCTAAGAAATAATTCATACACCAGCTGAAAATAAAATTTTTTAAAATATATTATAAAATAACAAAAATAGAATAGTCCAGATAAAAGTAATAATATTGTTGACCCTAAATATAACAATTTCAAAAATATTTCAGAACCAACTTTACTTATTTTGAGGCATCTGTTGAAATAGAATTACAGTATCCGATAGTATTTAGTTCTACAGTATCTAAGTGAAAACTGTTTTTTTATTCTGGATACTATAGAACTAAAAGAAATGGAACTCTGCAGAAAAGACAGCAAAATTCTCTGAATTAAATCAAAAGAAAACAAAATAGATTGAATGATCCTCCAGAAGTGGAGAAAATAAATCCTTTGGATAAGAAAATGAATCTGAATAACAACTTTAACTCTATTCAAAACTACATTGGCAAATTGGATGGAGCTCAGCAACATTAGCAAACTGGAAGGAGACCACTTTCCCAGAAAAAAGTTTTCATTGGAGACAATACCAAAAAGCCAGTGTTGCTGGCATAGAATTCACTTGAAAAATAATGTTCATAATATTTTAGTTTTTAATTTATAGTTTTATTATTAGTTTTATTTAATTTTAAAAATAATTTTGATAATTTTAATTTTTAACATTTTCAATATTCCCCCCAACAATTTCAAATTATGTTATTTCTGAATTAAATAAACTAGCACTCTTCATTCATTTTTTATTTGAAATATAAATTATTATTATTGTATTTTTACAGATGTAATAAATGGCTTGAATTAATTAGAGAATGCAGAAGATAAATGGAATATTTTAATACAAAAAAATCCAGAATATAAATTTATATAAAAAATTTGTGAAAATTATTTTGAAGAATGATGTTTTTTGTCATGTATTATAAAAAAGAACTAAGAAAATAAATTAAAAAGTTTATAAATTTAAAATACTTTTTAAATTTATAAACTTTAAGAATATACATATTTACTGTAAATAAACAAATGAAAGTTTAAAATAAATAGATAAATATATAATTGCATTGAAAACTAATAATACTTCAACAGAAAATATTTCATTTGTATACTTTTGTTTATATTTCTATATACAGTAGAGCATCGATTATCCAACTCAACTGGGGACTGGGGTTGGTCGGATAACTGAAAAAACGGATAACCGAAAAATATGAAAAAATACATTAATTGTATAGTATATCCCATGTAATTAGTATATCGCTATTAACCAACTTCGCGTTGAATTTTCATCGATGTTAAGCCTAACAAAAATTTTTTTAAAATAATAATCATCACTATTGCATCATTAAAAATTAGAAAATTAAGCCTCGTTTAAATACTGGCTCCCTTTCATGGTTGAGCCAGTGTTGCCAGCTAAAACACGTAAAAGTACTATTAAAGTAGCCAAGACAGCCAAATATGGTAGCGCCACATCACTAGCGGACATTTGAATTTGCCGACTAGAACGGTCGGTTAACCGATGTGACGGTTAATCGGGGGTCGGATAATCGATGCTCTACTGTAATTGAATAATTATATAATAAAACAAATATTACTATTTAAAAGTCTCTCAATATTTTTCTATTTAAATAATGTATATTTTTATATATTTTCACTGAATAATCAATATTAATTAAGGTGAAGATGATGTTATAAAATCAAATTTACATAATGCATAATTCAGATTATATTAATTAATTAATTAAACATCAACATTAACTACTGCCCAGTACAAAATAAAAATCAGAATTTTTCTTAATATGTGCAACTTCTGAGGCTAAATATTTTGAAAACCTAGCTAATTTCCTTTTTAGTCCTAATTAACCTAATTTTAATACAATTTAAGTATCTTTTGTAGTTATTTTTTATATTGAATTAAAGTTGTCTAGGACTTTTTGATTCCCCTGTACCTCCATGTTTTGGAAAAAGACTTAATATCCTTTATACATTCTCATACCTTACATCATCTACTTTACATCCCTACCACACAATAAAAAAAAAAAACTTTTAACTGTCTGTCTGAAGCAACATCTGTTTTAAATTTCTTATTTTAAAATAAAAATGATATTGATGTGTGGCCTTTGTAAACAAATTTGACATCTAAATCATGATTAATAATTAGAATTTGATAAATCATAAGAAACTGCATTAGAGCCTTACCATTTTCAAATTAAAGAATAAATCAAAAGATAATGTCTAAAACTGAGCTTTCAGCTTGCTTTTTCATCAGATAAAGCTTTCTTTAAAATGTGTATAAACTTCATCAAATATGATCAGAATTCTTAATACTGTTTTATACTGTATATGTTTATAGATTATTTAACTCATTTTAAAACAAATAAATTAACATATCTATTAATGAAATATTCAGAGATAATAAAGAGAAATCAAAGATTGCCAGAATACTTCTGATATAATTATACTCCTTGCAGGTTTCAATAAAATTTGAGTTACATCTTTGAATTCACATGTGGAAGGTGGAGATTTTGTATCCAAACAGATCATACAAATTACACAGAATATAAAGTTGTGTTGAGAATACACCAAAACTGCTCAGTTCAGTGAGCCAAATATTTTATAAGAAACATCACTAGCCTAGATCAACTATATAAAACCCATAGACCTTTTGTGAGGTAGGAACCAGAGAATTCTATCTACATTTTCTATCATGTGGTGGAGTTATAGCCCAATTATTTAAGGCGATTGTTTGGATATGTTTGTCACAATTGTTTTTTGGATAGATATTTTATTGTAGAATTTGAACAATTGGTTTGTGAGCCAAAGTGAGCCAAACAATTTGAACATGTTTGGCTCACTGCTCAGTTCAGTGAGCCAAATATTTTATAAGAAACATCACTAGCCTAGATCAACTATATAAAACCCATAGACCTTTTGTGAGGTAGGAACCAGAGAATTCTATCTACATTTTCTATCATGTGGTGGAGTTATAGCCCAATTATTTAAGGCGATTGTTTGGATATGTTTGTCACAATTGTTTTTTGGATAGATATTTTATTGTAGAATTTGAACAATTGGTTTGTGAGCCAAAGTGAGCCAAACAATTTGAACATGTTTGGCTCACTGCTCAGTTCAGTGAGCCAAATATTTTATAAGAAACATCACTAGCCTAGATCAACTATATAAAACCCATAGACCTTTTGTGAGGTAGGAACCAGAGAATTCTATCTACATTTCTTCACTTTTTCATTTTTTTTTATTTTAATCTATTGTTTAAACAATCATCTTTCTGTTAACATAGAGTTTTGTCATTTTATTAGTAGTAGATGCAAATTTTTTGTGTGACAATTTGAAAAAGTTGGCAAAATTTTAAATTCTTCTGCTAAAAAAATTGCCTTTAAGTCAGATAGAACCTTACAACTTGTTATGTATAACTAGTTAAAATGGTAAATTTGATATACAAAAGTTCTTAAATATAATGTTAAAAATATCACCTGTATAGTTTATTAAATATGATCCAAAAATATCATAATAAAATTAATTATAGTTGACTTTCTAAACTTTTTCAAAAGTTGCTCACTAGAAAGTTTCCCTCAAAGACTATTTTAAATACCTGTCCTTTGTACTTAAAATGGAAAAATCATTGATTAAAAAACTTACAATAGAATAATATAGAATAGTAAGCTTTGCACTTTTCTCTAATATAAATAGAGAAAATTATTGCACCCAGTGTATTTCCTGGAATGAATATATTTCTCAAAAATAGTAACACATTAGTTAGTGGCACGTTTGTCAATTTTTTCGAATGTTGTTTATATAGTCTAAGTGAAGTTAGTACAAAAAATCTCTTGCATAAACTTGTTTATGCAAAAGATTTTTGTAAAAACAATAGTCACATTTTTGTCTTGTATCAACTGTGAAGTTAATCAATCACCTATCTTCTAGTAGATCTATTTAAAAGAATAATGATGTAAAAAACTCAGAAGATTCATTTTTCCATCTCAATATTGCATCCTTATATAATAAATAATCTGTTACTATTTAAATAGATTATAAGAGAAAGTATTATTAGCTAACCAATTGTTCAAATTCTACAATAAAATATCTATCCAAAAAACAATTGTGACAAACATATCCAAACAATCGCCTTAAATAATTGGGCTATAACTCCACCAATTTAATGATTAACACTAAGTAATTTGCTACTAGAAGTAGGTGTTAGGTACCATCTCTTAACTAAATTGATAATTATAATTTTAATAATTTATTACATAATTTAGAATTGTCTGGAAGAAAAAAACTGATCCGAGGCAGGGCTTAAACCCACAACCTCCAGGTCTGGATGATGCAACTGGCAAATGGAGGTTGCAGGTTCAAGCCCTGCCCGGGTCAGTGTTTTTCTTCCAGACAATTCTAAATTATGTAATAAATTATTAAAATTATAATTATCAATTTAGTTAAGAGATGGTACCTAGCATCTAATTCTAGTAGCAAATTACTTAGTGTTAATCATTAAATTGGTTGAGTTATAGCCCGATTATTTAAGGCAATCATTTGGTTGTGTTTCTATATACATATCAGGCTTTGCAATATTTGATATAATTACTACAAACTTAAGACACTAAATATTGTAATGTTTGTCTGAAAAGAATAAAAGTTAGATGCATTCCAACATATAAAATTATTCTGAAATGCTAAAGATAGGCTAGATTATTTTAGAAAATCAACGTGAGTTTGTGTGTACAGTATATCTTCATTTTAATACACTTAAAATTCTTACAAAAGTAAAAGTGATGGATTATAGCAGAGGTCAGGGAACTGGGATAAATTACCCCAGATAAAAATTAAATTATTGAGGGTAATAAGGAATTTAGATATTTTAAATAAAAAAGTAAAAATAAAAAATATATAAAGTATCAGAACTGAAGGTAACAACTTGATTATTTATAACACATTGACTTATTATATCACAAATGAACTCATTATGGTGGTAATATCAATTTTCTCCTTTTCAAAATGAGGGGGGTAATATCAACTTACACAAATATATTTTGGGGTAATGGCTAAAAAAGTTCCCCACC